ATAAAATTTTTATTTATTCACAATTTATTTATGCATTTCAGATTTATTAAAATTGATGGAAGAACAAATGCCGAACATAGAAAATCTCAAATTGATGAATTTCAAAACTGCGATAATTATATTGCTGCAATATTATCAATTACAGCAGCAAACGCCGGAATTACACTAACAGCTGCGAAACTTGTTGTTTTTGCAGAACTGTTTTGGAATCCTGGAGTATTTATCGCTTATTTTGTTGAAATTATAATTATTATTTGAAATTATTATTATTTAAAATATGTACATTGTATATTTTATTATAGATATTATGCCAAGCAGAAGATAGAGTACACAGAATTGGTCAAGATAGCGATGTTATTATTCAATACTTAATTGCGAAACAAACAGCAGACGATTATTTATGGCCTTTGATTCAGAAAAAACTGCATGTATTAAACGAAGTTGGATTTGATCAGAACTTTTCTCTAAAAGATATTGATATTACAGTACAAGCATTAAATTCGAATCAAAGCACTTTAGATACGTTTAATACTTTTAACAGTATTTCACAACAAGAGATTGATGAAGAAATAATAGAAAATAATCAAAATGCAACAAAAAACACTACATTAGAAAGTCAATCTTCCACTGAAAAATTTAAAAAATTACTTGATTTAAATGAGGAAGACTTTGAATTTTGTGATTGGGACGAAATCGAATGAAAAATTACTTTTTACACAGTATGTTAGCTAGAAATTAAGAAAAGTGTATTTGAAGAAACTAAGGAAAGACTATTTTCTATATATTGTTTATAAACATAATTACTACTAATAATAAAATTTTTCATATTAAAAAATACAAGTATTTATTTTAAAAAGATGAAAAATAAGAATGTGTAATTTTCACTTTTCAGTTATATATGTAATAATTTTCCGTTACAATTTATTTTAAAACTAACTTTGTGTTAAATAATTTAATTTTTGTTAACTATATTACTTTAATAATTTAACTTTAAAATTAAATTTTAAAAATTTGAAATCATTAAGTTTCAAGATACTATTGTAGTATTTACATTAGCCTTATTAATTTATGTTTTCAATGAGCGATAATTTAATAAGTATGCGAACAGACTTAAGCTCGCGTTATTGCACATCTTATATGAACATAGTAATAGGCTATACTTTGAATATTTACCGCACAAACGAATATTCTTCAATGCAGTGTTTCCTTCGAAACTAATGTTTGCTCGTTGGTTTAAACCGTGTGTGAATTTTTATTCATATTGTTTATAACAACGATACTTGCAATGTCCATTTTTAACGCGCACCAGTTTTTAGGTGCATTGTACAAACGTTATATAATTTCATTGCCATCGATAAATTTGTCTAGAACTCAAAAAGCAAGTATCTCCTTTTGAGGTTAGAATAAATATATTTACATTCTATAATTCATTATATAATATTTACGATATGATATTCCATATTTTTGGAATTATTTTATTCTTCTCAATGATCTGATAAATATTTGTATACAAAATTTGTATAGTATTAGTTAATAATGAAATAGTTGCTTTTGATTCTAATACTTTTTTCTCTTTCATGTAGATTTTTATTATTTGCCTTACCGGAGGATCACTACTGTTAGGAGGATTAGCACAATTTTTGAAAAGACGGAGAAGACATCCTCTTCCTTCTTCAAGAAGACCACTGAGAGAATTAAAACAAAGATATGCTGCTGCAAAAAATTCTAATTTTGGTAATTTATTGACATAGTATTTTATAAGTAAAATTTAAAAAAATGATAACGAATGTGTACTATAAAATTTATTTTTTGTTTGTAGATGCATTATCGCAAGCATCTTGGGCAAGAAAAAGTGAAACCAGCAGTAGAAGTCATATAAGCGATCGAGCATCACTTATATCTTCTGTTCCAGGAGGTCCAGATGGTGATGTAAGACTTACTCCACAACAATATGGGGTTCTTGGTAAGTGATTTTTTTGTATATAGCTCTTACAATTTCGAAGTTGTAGTTTTAGAATATTTTAAATATACCCTTATATTTGTTATATCTTTTATAATTTCTAAAAGATTCTAGAATATTTTAATAATATTTTTGTGATTAAAATTTGAGGATAAGATTATATCAAATTTATTAATTTATTTGTATTTTCTTATCGAAATTAAAAAGTGAATAATATAAAAAAAATAGATATGACTGGTTCTTAATTTTGCTGACATTTTTTATTATACACAGAAGATAGGGACATACAATGAGATAATGTTGTTAAAAAAAAAAAGTAATAAGACAATGTAAAATGGACTTCTTAGCATACAAAATATTCTTTATAAAGATGCACGCTCGAAGAAAAAGAAAGAGAAAAAGATGTATTTATATTTACATGATAATGCACGTAACAACAGATTTATGAATATATCTGTGCAATTTATATATTTCTAAAAGACTGAAGGTTGTCCTGGATATTGTTAAATGCAGATGTTTTTACATTGGGATTTTTATTAATATTTTCTCAAAGGCATACAGAAATATGAAGAAGCAACTAAAAAATAAGCAGTAATTTCTTTTCTTTCAAATATAGAGATATTCTATTATCATTTGTTCCTTCCATTAATTTTTATCTTGGAAACGTACTATTCATTTGTTTTGGGCCATATCCGTTGCATCACTTTATTTGTGAGAAAATATTGCTGACAGTATTAAATATCATTATCTTGCATTATCTTCTACCTACTTTTTTTTTCTTTTGCTTTATTTAAACACGCAACATTCTAAAATTCACATGTCCCAATCTCACAACAAATTATTGCTTTCTATGATAATTAACAAATTATTTAACAGAATATGTCACATTCCTTTACATCTACATAAAATTTTCACTGAATATCACAATATTGTGATTAGGCTTACTTCGATACGAATGTTACTTACTAGAAACTCATGGACAATTTCCTTGTGTTCAAAATGAATGTTTTGGTGTCACATTTTTTTCCATTGATGCTACAGTAAAATATGAATAATTCGTACGATATTGTTTATCACTATTAGAAAAAACTATAATTGATTAAATAAGTTTATAATAATTATATCTAATGAGAATATAGAAATTACAATAAAATTTATACTAAAAAAATGTTATTGGAAAAAAGACGAACATACGACATATTTTGTTTTCCGAAACGACGTTTAAGATTAAACGTAGTTATTAAATAAGTCCATACTTCTCTTTTCGCTCTTATGAAACAAACGTACCCTACAAAATTATTAACGTATCTGTACAAACGAAAATACTGCATTCCTTTGCCATTACAATTTCCATTAATAATTATTTTCTAGGAATCTGCAAGCCCTATCACTTTACAAGAGATAGATGGGTACACAAAATATCATATTATTTTTACAGAATTGAAAACAGATCATCTTCAATAATTAAAACTTACTAATAGGTTTTTAATACTACATGACATTACTTAAAAATTTACTACTTGAACATCGTTATACTCGTTCTTAAAATAACGTGCATCACTTTTCCATTTCTATTTTCTTCCATTTCATTTTATTTAAGGATTCCTCAGAGCTTTACATCAGTCAGATAAACAATACTAAAATAGCGTTGAAAAAATACACGTACCCATCCACCTGTACTCTACGTATTCTTACTCGCTACACCTTTATAAATCTTACAATTTTCTAAAATTATACTGCAATCTCAAAAATATATATCGTAACTGCATCAACTCGCGAATCTTTGTCTCTTCATAATTATCTTTTTCTTCATCGTTTCCCCCTTCAATTTCCCATTCGTCGTTACTTTTCATTTCTTTCAGATACTATACATATATTTGTATATATATATACTATATATATAGTTGCCCGAGAATAATACCTGTGGTAATTCTAAACTCTCTTTGAACACGATTCTCAAAGATCATTCTTTCCTTTTCTTTTCTTTTCTTTTTTTAATCTCTTTCTCTTTTCCATCAAAAGCTTTTTCCAAAGTCTTTTCTAGAAGAAGATCCTAGAACATACACTTTGCAAAGGCATAAAATAGTTTAGCTGGAAAATCGATTCACAGCGAAGATTAGTTTAAAGACGGAATGTCATTATAGTTTACACATTTATCAGTTAATTCAACAGCATAGAGATGAATGTTAACGATCCGTGAATTGTCGTTAATATGTCTATGTTGGCTGCGATCGCTTGTACTTAACATTCGTCGTGAGACTAGCTCATCTCGCTTAAGGTATTCCTTTCATCATCTGCTATCCTAAACATGTGTGTATATATATATTTTTTATGTATATATATATATTAAATATGAAGTATTTTTCATCTTCGAAAGGCAAGCATTATGTCAGCGTCGACATCGCGGTCTGACTTGATCAGCGATTTATAATCAAGGTAGCTTTTTTTTTTTTATTTCGTTCCATACTCGGCTATATGTACGAAATTACAGCAACATCTTATGTGTATTTGTATATTCATCTATGTTTTTTTTTTGTTTTTAATCTTTTTTCTTCTATTTCTTTTTTTGTCTTTTTTTACTTTTTTCTGCGTTTTTTTTTTCTTTTGATAATCTCTGGACACTGGTTTTCTTCTTTCCTCTACGAATATATTACTATTGCAACTTAGAACTTATAGGATTACTCTTAGAGGCATTGATCTTTTCACGTGATTCTATGGACAATGGTTGGTAACGAAATTAATAGCAGCCCCATGTTTAATCTAAGGAGAGACGATGCTCCGGAGTGCGTCGTCTCCACCTTGTTTTTCAACGACAGTGGTCCACCGTCGTCGCTTTGCATGTTAGACATGTCCGATTTCTTCGGTGGTATAATCATATTCTCATCATGATCCTCGCTCTCTTCCATAACGTGGGTGTGACGATGATGAACATCCTTGCTCACGTTCTGCGGGATCGTGGTAGTGCTCGGTTCCGTGGTAGGTGGCTCGGTAGTGGTAGGAACTAAACTGTAATTGCCGAGGAAGTAAATAGGTCCGAATTCAGGTTTTATATCGAACATGGTCTCCTCCGTGCGAATGCCGCTTATCACGCGAGACTTCGTCTCTCTATCTTCGTAATGGGATATTAATGTTCCACTATATGGTACCTCCATGTTGGTATAATTCGCTTTCAGGCTCACGTTTATTCCTGTACCAGGTTCAAGGAACACTTCTACCCTGTATATATAACAAATATATGTCAGTATATTAGAAATTTGATGAATTTATATATTATATATATATAT